TATCTTTACCATCCTTGTTTTTCATTTGTATGTAAATATAAATTAACCTGAAGGAATTTGATTTAATCTGCTGGTTAATGACAACCCATAGCTGTAGAATATTTTTAGGCAAAGAATAAATGCTGTGATAAGGGAAGCTTTGTCCTTAGTGTATGAGACTTTAGCCTAAAGGCCTCGCAATGTGCTTCTGAAATCAATCAGTGAATACCCTACAGATCACAGCAGTCCAGCAAACAATCATGGAGGTGGTGCAGGACCAGGCAGCATTTTCTCCCTTTGTGAATGAGGTCGTTAGAAGTTGGCTGATTCCATGGCAGCAACCAATAGCAACAAAATGATGTGACTTTGGCCAGTATTTTAATTCCGTGGGGCCTCAGTTGTCCCAGGTATAAAATGGAGACAATGCCTCTGTCACGGTGCTGACCCGAGGGCAGAATCAGGTCCCAGCTGCTCAGTGTGCTGTGCTGACACATGCAGGAGCTCAGGAAACACTGGTGTCTGCTCCGTCCATACCTCTTACCTACTATAAATACTCTCCGGCCTTCACCATCCTTGTCCAAATGTAAAGTCAAATCTGGGTGGAAAGGCCAGAGCCCTCCCCGAATAGTTGTTTATATGCTGTCCTACATTTTATTCAGTCTTCACATGGGTAATAATCACCTCATTGTTAAAGAGACACAAGAAAGGTCTACAGACAAATTTTCTTTTTTCTTTCACCTTACTTAGCATCCAAATCTTCCAAAAAAAAAAAAAAGAAAAAGTCACCTAAGGCATTTGGCTGCTAACCAGAAGGCTGGCGTTTCAAACCCACCAGCCACTCCTCTGAAGGAAGGTTGGGCGATCTACTTCCATAGTGATACCGCCTTGGAAACCCAAGGAGGGGTCGCTATGAGTCAGTTCTGACTCCTCGGTGGCAGTGAGTGGATTCCGAGACATGGTGACCCCATGTGTGCAGAGCAGAACTGTTACGTAGAATTTTCAAGGCTGTGACCTTTTCGGAAGCAGATCACCAGCTCTGACTTCTGAGGCACATCTGCCTTACTTAGTGGAACACTTAATCATTTCCACAATGAAAAAAATGACTAAAAATCTACATCAATCTGAGAACACCACAACCACTTCCTTGAGAATCACTTGTACCCTGCAGAAGATGGAAATGTGTCCTCTATTGTTTTTCTTTTCTCTTCCCTCAGTCTCTCTCCTCTTCCCTTTTTCCATTTGTTTCTGTCCACCTCTGTACTATCCTCCCTTTCCCCTCTGAAAACGAACTAACAAACCCATTGTCTTAAATTTGAATTCAACTTCTAGTGACCCTGTAGGACAGAGTAGAACTGCCCTACAAGGTTTCCAAGGCTGTAATCTTTACCGAAGCAGACTGCTACCTCTTTGTCCCATGGAGTGATTGGTGGGTTCAAATCTCTGACCTTTTGGTCAGCAGCTGAGCATTTAACCACTGCCTCACCAGGGACCCTCTTTCTCCTCTGAGTTTTAAAAATGTCAACCCAGTATCCAGGGACTGTACTTTCTAGCAGACTCCACTTTCATCAAAGACACTCACTGATCTGGAAGGAAGAGCCTCCTGTTTGAGGTGGTTAGAAGCATGGAAAGCCCGCACAGCTTTGCATCTGCTCAGACTAGCAAGTGAAATCCACTATATGTTTACTCACTTATATAACCGAGAAGTCATACACCTCTTGGCTTAATTTTTCAGAAAAAAAGAATGAATGAAATAAAAATATAATCTGCCAGAATTGATAAAAACTAGCTTGGACAGATGTGGCACTAAGCCCACCACTTGATACCAAAACCAAACACTATAACCATTGCTACTGAGTCAACTTGGCTCATAGAAATACCATGTATAAGAGAGTAAAACTGAGCTCGCTAGGGTTTTCTTGGCTGCAATCTTTACAGAAGAAGATTGCCAAGCCTTTCTTCAGCAGCACTCCAGGTTTGAATCACCAATCTTTAGGTTAGTAGCTGAAAGCAAACTCCGTGTGTCACTAAGAGACATTATTAAATCAGAAAATGAGCGTGTGTGCTTCTTGATTTAGGAAAAACGAGATTCATGTACTGGACAATTTATTAAGGACACCTATTCTGCTCCTTCTTACAATAGAAAGTGCCTATTTGGGGGCAAAGAAACTGACGTACTCGAATGGCAATTACTAGTCAGCAAGTGTCTAACAAAGTTGTAAATGGAATGCAATTCTTTCTTCAACTTTTGTCTGCCTCCAAGACCTCCAAGTTTCACCATAGATTCAGGATGATTGTTTTTGTCAGTGGCCAATAGAAAGTGTGAAATGGACACTCCTGACACCACTGTCCACAGAAGAATAAATCTGCAGTGTTATTATGTGGGCAACACCTCCCCAGTAGCTCTCTGGTTACTTGTGCGCTCTGAGAACATAGCCTGCCGAGTGCATTTATCACAATAGCCCATGAGTGACCTTTGCAAAAGTCCTTGAAAACAGTGAAATGAGAGTCTTAGCTGAAATCTGGAATCCATTGCAGTCTGACACAGGAAGAAAATTAGGCATAGAACAACAAAGCCCATAGTTCAGATAAACCTGGGGAGGGCCTGGCTGACATTAAAATTGTGGATTTTTTTCTTCCTCACTACTTTGTGTTTCATGAAAGCTTTTCATCTGAACAGCCTCAAGCTGTTGGAAAATTCTATACTGTTAGTAGATGGCAAGGGCTGGTTGCTCCAGTGAAGCAAGCAAGCAGATCAGAGATACGAAGTGATGCATTAAAATGCACTTACTTAACACTTTCCTAAACTGTTAAATAACTTCTATTATTCAAACATGGTGGTCAATACTACCAAGCTTTCCTTTGGCTTAATGTATTGGCAACAATGAGGGTAGGAGGGGGAGCCTGGGCAGAGAGAATGGCTGTGCTCCCTGAACCTCATCCCCATGATAGAGTTGATTACCCCAAACATGGTAGACCTGGAAGTTAGCAGAGTATCATGCTTGCTCAATGCGTTTAATTTGACAAACATTTTTGGGATCACACTGTAAATATGGAGTAACTTCCTTTGGTTTTGGATAATATTACTCAATATTAATTTTCCAGCCACTCCTTGGAAGGAAGGTTGGGCAATCCTACTTCTGTAGTGATACTGCCTCGGAAACCCAAGGAGGGGTCGCTATGAGTCGGGGCCGACTCGAAGGCACATAACAACAACAACAACAACATTCATATTACATCCTGTGTGTGTATATCATTTCATACACATAAATTACTTCCTACATTTGGAAGCATTTTCTGTCTCTGATAGCAAGAACAGGGTCAGTCCACATCTAAGTCAAAGAGTGGCATAAAATCCAACGAAAATAATTTGGCGGAAAAAATTGGTTTGGAATAGTGTTTCAGAACTCATCTAACATTTTCTGGAAGGCCCCTCCAAAGGGACACATACCCTGAACCAAACAAGAAGTTGTAGAAATAATCCAGCTTAGGGAATAGCATCTGACACTCAGATCCAGAACATTTATTCATACACAAGAATAACTTAATCTTGTTTTTTTCTTAAGGACCATCTAAGTTTTTTTTTTTTTTTTTTTTTATTTTCCTAAAAAAAAAAAAAAAAAAGGTAAACAGCATTACTTTGGTCTCCAAAACATGCCAGTTTGAACTTTCTTCTGCCAGCAAGTATTTGGTTTGGCTCCGTAGGGCTCAAGTTGAAAAAATATTTGCCAATTCCAAAAAGATTTAACGAGCTTTGCTGCAGATGTCAGTGCCATTTGGCATTTCACAGGGTTTGTGGTACAGCAAAGAGAACTCTCTTGACCAAGGTAGCCAACACTGGGAGTCCAGTCGCTTCCTTGGGTCAAGAAGTTGCAAGTCAAATGAGTCAAGTTTCCAAGGGAAAATGGCCAAAGCAAGCATCAAAAAATCTCTCACTGTCATTGAAAACTAAGTCATTGGATCTGACTCCACTCCCACATAGGAATTGATGGCTGACTTTTGGAACTGTCAATAACATCCTCACACTCACCGTCAGACGTGGTCTCTAGTGCTGTCGGTCCATAAACCAAATGCATCTTGCACTACTAGCAAAAGTGATCCTGATCCAATGACAGATGCTAAAAAGATTTGCTGCAGTGTATTTTGTTGTCATCTGACTGATACTGTACTAATTGCAGTGGTCGGAATTTCACTGAGAGTAACACTACTAAATATAACCAGCAAGTTTCCTTTATATTGCTAAGATGGATGTATACTGCTTTCATTAATAGCAGGATATAGATGTAGAGTTCTATCATTGTGATTGGAAATACTGGCCATCCAGTATACAAATCTTATATGTTAAAGGCCACTATAGGTTGTCACCTGAAATCATGTGTGTCAGTAAAGGTTGCAGTCAACCTCTAAGAAAATAAGACTCTGATCATTTCAAGTCAATGTTACATCTGACAGTTATACCCAAAATGTAAAATAGTTCTATAATAGTATGTGCTAAGAATTAAATGCCTATTTTAATGGACATGGGGATATAGGGAGAGTGGCATTGAACTGTAATTACCTTGAAGGAGAAAGTCTGTATTATCTTTATTTCACACTATAACCAGCCAGTCCTCGGAAGGAAGATGGGGCAATCTACTTCCGTAGTGATACTGCCTTGGAAACCCAAGGAGGGGTTGCTATGAGTCAGGTCCAACTTGACGGCACATAACAACAACAACAACATAAGCAAATATATACATAATTGGGTGCGTCCCATCCCAACTTCTCCGGATTTTCCAAAACTTCTAAATGTCCTTTTCACCAACACCTCATGATGATCCAATACACATTAAATGATTATTTGATGCCAAGCTTCAGTAACAAATACCCTCAGAGAGCCAGTCTCTCTACTGCCTTTCCACAGAAAGACCTATTCACTGAAACAAAGATGGAACTGACTCCCTTAACTGACATTTTGGAGTCAAAGTAGAAGTCAAAAGAAAAAAGTCATGAAATAAGGAAAGGATGATTATACTGTTATTTACCATTTTGGCTTCTGAATGCATTGGCTGGATTTGAGGAGAAGCACAGGGGTTGTTGAGATTTGGACCTTGCATCCCCATGATGTTGGAGTTCACTGACATTTGTCTCTCCATCTAAGAGAAAAATAAGCAACAGAATTAGAAGCTGGAAAAAGGCAGTTTGGGTCTTACACAAAGTTGCACTTGACCTTCAGGTGAATTGTTTAGCATTGCTTTAAAAAACTCCCAAGAAAGCCTTTTTGGCTAAGAGCAAGCAATACACTTCTGAGTCTTAAACATGAACACATGTAAGAAGCATCCAAAGTTGGGCCTTCTCTAGAAGATGCGCCATCCCAAAAGGAACTTTGTTGTCATTGAAAGTGATTTCCCAAGTAAAATTATAGAATATTTCCACTTTTGCAAATATTCCATAACCACTAACCATGATTATTTTTTACAGCTGTGAAGAATAATGGAATTATTCTTCCATATGTGAAGAATATGGAAAAAATACTATATGCCAAATGGTTATATCAGGTTATCTATGGCTTTCCCTCCATTGATTTTATACAGAAACATGAATCATTTTGGCAATAAGTAAAAGAAAACAAGAAATTTAATTTAAAAATCAATGCTCTCAAAGATGGTGGGACTTCCTGTCTCTCTACTTCATAAATACCATCAAAATGATCCAGCACAGAGTTGAGCTGTACTTGGCACAACTCCTCTTCCCTGTTCACCAATCTAGTCAAGGCTCTACGCAGCAGTAGTTTTAGGGCTCACAGCAAAGAGAGGCCTTTAGGGAGGTAACACAATAGTTGAGGGTGCTGTACAAGACACATGAAGCACTACTCCCACATCATTTTCCTGCTGGCCTGCCATTGTGACCAGAATAGTAACAACCCACATATCTGAATTGAGTCTTAGCATCCTTGTCTGCAGAGTATTCCTCTTTAAAAGGTAAACGCAAGGAAATCTATTTCAGACAGGGAAGGGTGGGCCTGACTAATGGTATTTTCAGTTTAATACAGATTTAATACTTTTCAAACAGTGGAATAAAACAAGTCTAATTAATACTGAAATCATACAAAAAAATCATTAGACTTGCCCCAGGGAAGGAAGAAGCTTCAATGAAAACATTTCTCCATTTTTGCCAAAGAATGGAAATAAAATCAAAGGTCAGAAATTTTGGGGATCCAGGTTTCTGCTCAAAAAACACCTAAGTAGTCTTGGAAAGTATGGAGTTCTTTATTACTAGAGGTGTTTCAAAGAGTGGGGAGTGAAAATCTTACAGAGTGAAGCTTTAGAAGAATAGCTGAACTAAGGGAACCCAGTTTTGTTTTGTTTTCACTTTTTATTATGATTTGGGTGAAAGTTTTCAGAGCAAATTTGTTTTTTATTCAACAGTTCATACACATGTTGTTTCATGACATTGACTGCAATCCTCACAGTGTAACAGCACTCTTCCCACCTCTTCTGTGATTATCATGTCCCTTTGTCCTTTCCTACCCCTTTGTGCCTTCTCAGTTTTATCACGGGGTAAATGCTGCCCTTTTGATCTCTTATGGTTGATTGTTCTAAGAAGGGCTTACCTCTCTGGTATTACTGTTTACCTCATAGGTTTGCTGATTGTTTGGCTAAAAGTTGAGCCATGGGAATGAGTTCAGTTCCAGGCCCAAAAGGTGACTAAGGGCCAGTCTCAGGGGTTCTACCAGTCTCTATCAGACCAGTAGGTCTGGTCTTTTTTATGATTTTGAGTTTTAGCCTACATTTTTCTTCTACTCTATGCATGATCTACAATTCTGATCCCTTCCAGAGCAGTGGTGGCTGAACACCATCTAGTTCTTCTGGTCTCAGGGTTAGGGAGGTTGAGATTTCCATGGTCTAAGTGATCCCTTTCAATGTTCCTGGCATTATTGAGATTCTATGACTCTGTAATTACTATTATTCCCACCCTGGGGGAAGGGGTCATATAACTGGGACAGAAATTTGTGGATTAGCAGAACTGCTTATTAAAAGTCCTTCTCAGTGAGTGGTGGCTACTTCCCATGACAATAATACATCTCCTGCCTTACCTAAGCCTAAATTACTTTATCACTTCTCTAGCAGTGTGTGGTGGGGGAATGGTTCCAAGGGAAGCTATTTAATGAAGGAGAATTTTCTTTACAGTCCATAGCACGTCAGTAAAATATTTGGGCTGTACCAATTTAGTAAAATTAAATATGCACATATACAATTTCCATATACCCCAAAATCCCCAGACAGTCTAAGTACTCAAATTTTCAAGTAATGAAGAATTCAAGAGTTTCACTGCTCTACAAAAATAAAATAAAATAAAATAAAAATAAAATGCTTATTATATTTTATGACTCCCATTCCTAAAGGCTGGGTGTGTAGAAGTGTTGGAATAGCAGCTGATGCTTTATTCTAATTGGTGGCCCTCTCCTAGAGGATAATCAAAGGCCAATGAGCTTTTGCTTTAGTTTTCCAAAGGGGGCTCTTTCAGAAATATATAATTATCCAGGGTTTTCCAAGCTGCTAAGTATTTTGTACTAGTGAGTGGTAAGAGTAGTCCATTTGCTCCCTCTGCATCCAGAACTCAACAATGGTTCACACTTTTCAGATGATGTATACTCTATAACTATTTCTCTAAAAGGAAAGGCCTAGTGATCTACTTCTGAAAATCAGCCAGTGCAAACCCTGTGATTGCAATGGTCAGATCTGCAACCCATCACGAGCGTGGTGTAGGACTGGACAGTGTTTTGTTCAGTTGCCCACAGGGCTGGCTCAATGGCAGCTAATAACATGCCTATTTCTACCCCATAACTCACAAAATACTGGTTTTAGCAAGGTTGTAGAACTATTCTAATTAAACAGAGTATTAAAAACAGACTGACTTCTCTATCTTAAAAACAACAACAACACAGTATTTCCCATGTTAATGCATGTTGTCTTACAGAAATAAGGTCAACGGAACCTCTTCAAAACAACTATTTTGTGCTTTGCACTACCGAGGCTCTGTACTGTGAGCTTGGCTTTCACGACTTCACCAGATTTAAGAGACCAGAAGGTGGGAGTGGCTTTGCTGAAGACTGGGCAACATTTTGCATTGCAAGTAAAACACACAGGTAAAGATTTCACCTTTTTCTGAGCTTAATTAAACAAACAAACAAACAAAAAAAACAAAACAAAACAAAAAAAACACTTGATACAACCTGAAAAACAGAATGTCTGCAGTTTGCTGAGCTCTTGTAATTATAATGGGTGTTCACAGCCCCAAGTAATTTAATCATTTAACTTTCGAAATATGACTTACAACCCAGTGAACTGCTTAAAGGCAAAGACTGCCTTGTTTATCACCATCTCTGTAGCACCTAGTCCAGTACTTGACACATGGAAGATGTTCAACAGAAGTGTGCAGAATGAATGAATGAACAAATGTTTTGCTTCAGATCTAGGGCTTTGTGAAATGTGTGGTCTAGTAGCATGCATACAAATCAGTCAAGAATCTTATCTTCACCTAAAGACATTGTTGTTCTTATATGCCATTGAGTCAGACCCGACTCATAGTGACCCCTCCTCGGGTTTCTGAGGCGGTATCACTACGGAAGTAAATTGCCCAACCTTCCTTCTGAGGAGTGGCTGGTGGGTTTGAACCACCAGCCTTCTGGTTAGCAGTCAAGTGCCTTAGGCACTATGCTATCAGAACTCCTACCTAAAGACATAGACTTATCTTTTATACCCAAGGAATCATAGCTCCCTGGTCAGGAACTCTATGGAATGAGGCTCTCCTCTAACTGTGCTCAAAATGCCAATGTTATAGACCACAGCTGGTGATATAATCCTAAGGAACAGGAGTTCCAGATTTCCAGGAGTCCCTGGGTGGCACACTTGGTTAACATGATCAGCTGCTAACCAAAAGGATGGAGGTAGTGCCTACCCTGAGGTGCCTTGAAAGAAAAGTCTGGTGGTGATCTACTTCTAGAAAATGAGCCATTGAAAACTCTACAGAGCACAGTTGTACTCTGACACGCATGAGGTTGCTATGTGTCAGAATCAACTCCACTGCAACTGGTGTTACTGATTATAACTGATAGGATGTACTTTCTGGAGTTATTATATTAATTTTCTTTAGTTACATTACTGTAAGTGTAGACCAGGCTTTCTCAGCCTTGGCACTATTGACATTTTGAGCTAAATAATCCTTTGTTGTGAGGGCCTGTCCTGTGTCTTGTAAGATGTTTAGCAGCATCCCGACCCTCTACCTATTAGAGGCCAATAGTATCATTCTTCCTCTCCCTCCTAGTTGTGTCAATCAACAATGTCTCCAGACATTAGCAAATGTCCCCTGGGAAGCAAAACTACTCATGGTTGGGAACCATGCTCTTGGCTGGCACCTATTATCACAACAACTATGCATATCACTGACATGGGTTTGGAAATTCCCATTGGGGTGCCATCACTGACTTTTGTCCACAATGGCTCTTGACCAGGCACCTGAAGTTTTGCTTCTGTTCTGAAGTATCAACAGACAATCAGGTAATATGATGTGATGATGTGGTGGAAATCAGTGTCAGGTACTCAAAGTGGACTTTTCTCTGGGCTTTTTCTGCCCAAGTGTCCACCTTTGCTCCCTGGGAATGGTACATAGTTTGACCAAATGGAAAAAATGTCACTGTGGTGGTAGTTTTCTAGTGAATGCATTGTTGTTGTTGTTGTTATTTGCCATGGAGTCGGTCCCAACTCATAGCGACCCTTCCTTGGGTTTCCGAGGCAGTATCACTACGGAAGTAGGAATGCCCAACCTTCCTTCCGAGGAGTGGCTGGTGGGTTTGAACCGCCAGCCTTCTGGTTAGCAGTCAAGTGCCTTAGGCACTATGCTACCAGAGCTCCTAGTGAATGCATAGGAATTCTAAAAAGAAAGTAGTTTTTGATAAGTGAGATTTGTAATCTAAGTGAAGGTAGTTTGTGGTGGAAGTCTTCATGCACTTAGTTGGTTTGAATTAAATCTATGATCATTGCATTGACGGTATGCTGTTTTACTTCATTATGGAGAAAAATAAGGGGCTCTGGTGGCATAGTGGCTAAAGCATTTGGCTGCTAATTGAAAGGTCAGTGGTTCAAACCCACCAGCTACTCTGCAGAAGAAAGATGAGGAAGTCTGCTTCAGTAAAGATTTACATGCTTAGAAACCCTATGCAGCAGTTCTACTGTGTCCTAAAGGGTTGCTATGAATCAGAATCGGTTCATTGGCAGTGGGTTATAAGGAGAGAAATGCAGGGAAAGCTAACTGGCTCAATTTGTCCTTCTGCCCAATTTTGCAAAGACTATTTCTAACCTGATGACTATCCAGTGTTTGTAGTGGGCAGGTCCATTTCTCTAAATTGAGGCCAAACCCTTCCCAGCTTCCTGCCTACACTTTGATAAATAAGCAAATTACTCAACCAGGGTTGATTTGAGCTGCTCAGCATGAGTTGAGATGTGAATGAGATGTGAATGAGATGTGAATTCTAGCCACAACTCTTCACCCACAAGGTGTGTGACATTGGACAACTCCCTTCATCTGTAAAATATGTATCACAATAATTACTATTACCATATCTGCACAAAGATTTGGGAACAAAATGAAATAAATAGAAAAATCATTATTGCTAATTATCGCTCTGCAAAGTATTGTTATAATTGCTACTCATCAGAAGTTTTGTCTGGGGGAAGGCACGAATTCAAATGTCACAACATCTACAGGGCTTTTGAGACCTCTTTGGCCTATGAATAATAACAACAGCTATGTCTCAAGAACACAATGCCAAGGAGGGCGAAGAAGAGATAAAAAATGCCCTGACTCTCTTTTTACTTTCGACTATTCTTCTTAGAGGTGGAAAGTATAATAATTAAGCATAGTCATGTAATGATTATTGAGTATGAACTCAGTAGTGAGACTACCTGTATTTAAATCCTGACTCCCTCACCTACTAGCTCTGTGATTTTTAGCCAAGTCTCTCAGTCTCTCTGTGTCTGATTTTCTCATCTGTAAAACGGGAGTAATAATAATGCCCACATCCTAAGTGTATTGTGAAAGTTAGGGTAGAAAATGTACATATGATATAAGAGGCAAGAGAGTGGGCTCTGGAGCCAGAATTCTAGGTTCAACACTCAACCACTCTGCTTCTCAATCTAGCAAGTTACTTGCCTCACTTTCCTCATTCAAAACAATTGGGATAGTAACAGTATCTGCCTGCAGGATTGTTTCAATTGTCGCTTATAAGTGTTGAGATGCATGAGTAGCACATGGTAAGCCCTCAAATAAACACTCTAGCAGGATTCCTAGAACATGATACCTATGAAAACATGTTAGCAGCTCTGATGTATGATAGTTATTACTGTTACTATTTTATTTGTTATTCTGTGCTCTGACTAGACCACTCACTGCAATTTAAGGACTTTGGATACAGTTGAAGCTGCACACTTCTGAGTAGTCAAAAAATATCATCTCCATGAACAAATCCCATTCCCTGAGTATCACAGGCTCAGTTGCCACCAGCAGAAGGATGGAACCATGCCTCACTAGTTACATCACTGCCAGATAGGAGAGCCAGCAACACACCTCAGAGATGGGCAGTGGTGCACTCCAAGCAAATGAGTACACAGCTCAACTTCCCATTCAAATGAAGGTGCCCTCTTTTCCAGTCAGTTTAAAAACAAAAACAACATAACAGGTGCCATGGAGTCTATTCCAACTCATGGAGACCCCAGATGTATCAAAGCAGAACTGTGCTCCATACGGTTCCCATTGGCTGAACTTTCAGATCATAATTAGGCCTTTCTTCTGGGACCTCAGGGTAGACTTGAGCCCCAACCTTTAGGACAGAAACCAGCACCTTAACCATTTGCACCACCTAGGGTCTCCAAAGTCAGTTTAGCTTTTGCTTTACTCTTTCAAAAACAGCAAGTCTCAGAGGAAACGAGAAACTATTGTGAGACACACAGAAACACTTACTGGCATCAAGACGGCAGAAGAGCCTGGCATTGTGGGGTTGGGAAGGGTCCCAGGCATGGAGGCTGGCATGGGCTGTCTCTGTCTGTTGTGGAGGTGTAGCAGAGAAGATAGAGAGCCTGGAACAGGCCTGGGAACAGAGAAGAAGTAACATTAATTCTGGTGCCCTGGACAGGCGATACCCTTCTTGGTTCCCTGGTGTCCAGAACCAGCAGAGACAATACCATCACATGTCCGACGGATCAGACCCACTGGTGCGAGAGCCACCTAATTGAGGATATTAGGGAAATAATAACAAATAAAACACAAGCCTGGTTTCCTTTGCTGCTTCCTAGTTAATACATCAAATTCCACTCCATTTCCTGGCCTCTGTTATCTAACCGATGTTCAAGAAACAAGTCAGTAAATCTCCTACAGCCCCCACACCATGGGAAAGGGACTTTGGGGTAAAATCCTGTGTTTTCTCAGAAGACTCTGCCCTTGGGAGTGTCTCAGAGCTGAGATCTGTGCACACTTGTTTTATCTACATGCTCCCACACCTTTGTCTGGAGGCCTGCTTTGCTTTGCTCAGGATACATTTTCACCCTCTGGATTTGCAGAGCAAACTTCATTCATGAGTTCCCAACAGAAATCAACTTTGACTTCTTCAAAGTTCTCTACTGTGAGTGGGGAGGGGAAGAAGAAGAAGAAGAAGAAAAAAAAAAAAGCCAGGATACAAACACAAAGCAGCAGAATTGCGGTTCAGGCGCTGTAGCCGAGCCTTTCTCTGTGACAGCCTGGAGCTCGGCCCCCAATTACCAATCACTCATTTTATAATAACTTGAGGTGTTAGGCTGTTTGACAGAAACTGATTTTGGCCTGACCTGCCGGACTTGGGTAAGCATTCTCAGGGGAGTACATAGTTTGAGCGTTTGCTTCAATTTGCCAGGAATTTTTTTTAAAGGGCCTTAAATTGATTTAATGAGCCAGGGAATGTGGGGCTGAGGGAAAAGGAAATTATTTGTGTTTATTAAAAATGGCAAACAAATGACCTCCCTGGTTAAATTCTCCATCTCCTGATGCTTTTGCTCAGGGGAGCTGTAAAAGTGTCAAACTGTTAAATTATAAGACTACACAACAAACAAATAAAGCAAAACAAACAAATAAATAAAAACCCCTCAGGACTCCTGAGTCTTCCATGTTAAACTTATCTTGAATGCCACACTATAAATTAGTGCTTCAGAATGAACACATTTTCTCAAAAAAAAAAAAAAAAATGGAAAACTCCCTCAGGGTTGACAATGGTTGCAGAGATGGTCTACACAAGCAAGGCCTTCAGGTGCTTTGTGGAAAGCCATCCCCCATCCCAACCCACTCCCGGCCCTACCCTGATCTAGAGCCCCATTGGGGTTGCATGGGGAGGTCTCTTCTTCATTGCTCAGTGGCCTCCATGGGTGACTCATGGAGAAAGGCTGAGAAGTGGGAGATTGAGATGTGGGAAAGAATGTCTGCAAGTTCTTCCTTCACATTGCTGTAATAATTTCAAAGAAGATTAAGTTTTCCACTCTTTTGGCAGAGAACATTTTTGGAAATACAGCTAGTTATTACAGTCACATACATCATAGAAGGATTAGTCATAAATTAGTCAATATTTGTAGGTGTGTGTATATACAAAAATATAATGTATAGAAATATAAAGCCTCTACATGGAAGTTATGTAGATGTACACAAGTTACATCCAGTCTTATTAATAGAACATGTATATGAGTAGATATATGGATAGGCTAACTTAAGTAGCTTGTAACAATTAAATGAGTCTTTTCAAATAACCCAGTGAAGCACTATGGGTATTTCTTGACATGTGCTCTTGGAAGTTTTGGAGTATGGATTAACAATAAGGACTAGTAGGGCCTGTAGGTTTTACAGTTCTAGAAAACTGCTACTTTCAATTGCTCTGAAAAATTATAAGAGGTTATAACTTTACCAGGTCTTAAAGTCTATCCAATTCAGAGGGAGCAAAAGTGGATAGTTTGAGTCAGACAGGTACAGAGTGTGCTCAGACAACAGACAATATTAGTTTTATATCCTCCAGTCTTAGCATTTTGCTTGGAACTTTACTGGGGGGAAAAAAAAGCTACATATAAAGACATATGATATTTAAAAATAACCAGTTCCTCTAAATCCAAGATTAATAGTCTGAGCTTTCTAGCTTCATACTGAGAATAATGCATCCAGAACCCTCCAATATATAGCTAATCACCCATCCATATAGATAAATTTACAAATAGAAATAAGAAAGATAAATGCAATCCATACATTTAAACATACATGTAATCTACAAGGCGAATTCTTGAAGTATAGATAGTTAAGGACAAGCAAGAATTTTACAGAAAGGACAACTAAAATATTTCTTTATGATGTTGGTTTGCAATACCAGCTTAATGAATAAAGGGCACCGTATGCTCATCATTTAAGATTTGGCTCAAACCTTACACTCTAAAAATACCTCGGTAATTAATTTTTATTGAGGGCTGGATATTTTTTTAAAAAAATCAACAACTTGATGGTGCTATTGAAATCCAAAAGGACTTAAATTAAAAAATGAGTTTTCATTCTTCCCAGAAGTGTATGGAAAACTGTAACATAGAAGAGTTGGACAGCAGTGTATTTAATTTAATTTAATTTTCTTATTAGTTCAGTTATTTCCACAACATGCACAGATCACCAGTTTTTAAAATATCAAATATTTCCTCATTAATTAAGAAAGCCTTCCAGGATACTGGGCCTTCTTGGATTATCATAATAATTACTTAGTAATACCAATCAGACCAATTACCAATGCTTACTTGGAGGGGGAAATGGTCATTGAGATCCCTGTATGTCTGGATTCTGAACAACTTTGAATTTATTGTTTCATACAAAATTTGTAAATTACATCCCCAACCTCTACCTATCAAAACTGACGGAGATTTCTAGGTTTCTTGCTTGAGCTTTTAAAACTACAAAAATTAGTGTGAAAATATAAAATCCATGTCTATCTATTACCAGGTACATAAAGGACTAGACTGAGGTCATTATCTGTGTAGGTTGGCCCAAGAAACAAAAATTTGTCCAGAATATTCAGATCACTGAATCAACAGTGGTATCAGAATAACTGTACTCATTGTCTAATTCCCTTTGAAATAATAATAGTTATTATTTAATGTAGTACACACACATAAAGTCTTTTTTTTTTTTTTTAGTTTTACCTAGACAATGCTTTATACCAAAATATTTTCACATCCCTAATTTCACATCATTTGAAACAATACAATGTGGTAGGCAAGTCATATCATTTCCGTTTTACTCAGGAGAAAATGGGATTGCCATGAACTGGAATTGACTCAATAGCAACAAATTTGAGTTCTTTTTGTTTGTTTGAATGGAATTCAGAAACATTTATTTAAATGTATCATAGGTCATATGGGTCATGAAAAGAAGCAGGGTTTTTATACTCAACTTCCAATATAGGGCTTTTTCCATCACACCTTGGTGCCTCCCATAACTAAGTTATCATTGATTTTTTATGCTAAAATAAATTCACGGGCCATTTCCTTTGATATTCACACTGCTCACTGGACTTCCCATGAAGTAGTAAAACACTGCAATACTGCTAACATGAGACATCACTCATCCATGTGAAATGAAGTTTTCATCCTTTAAAAAAATAACTTTCCAAACAACACATGGGTTAGATTCTGAATATAAGATTGCAAATTGCAGTAAAGTTGTGAAAACAAAGACCAACAGTTTCTCCAGTGCAGGCTTGTTGCCATGAGCTAATAATTCCAGACTTTGAGCAAGCCGAGCCTCCTTTTTAATAACCATGCGCCTCTAGGTAAAGTATTTCTACTAAAAATTATTGAGGCATGGAACAAGGTAAGATGTGTGAGCTCATGTTGGATTGTTCAATTACTAAACTGAGTCCTGTAGCATTAAGAGTTTTCCAAACTGACAGATTACTCCTCTTTATACACTTGTATAAACATACTGCTTATGGCTGAAATCTATGTAAGCTTTTCTTTCAATTAAAATGTCACATATGACAGACTGTGTTTTCACTGTCCTTAACAGAATGATAGGTACTATACAACAAGCGATTTCATGTCTTCACTTTTCCCCCTAAGAAATGTTTTCCTGTCAAAGTGTGTCTAAGGAGGCACGCCGCAGACTGCTCTCCGTTCTCAGATCTTCGAGTTCGATGGCACCCCGGGACTGTTTATTAACCTATAAGGGCAGAAGGGTAGACAGATCTGCCAGGCATGTGGCAGTGGAGTGAGGACAATGGAAAAAACTTAAGTTAGAAAATCAAAAAAATCAATGTCAGCGTCAAAATCAGGCCATAAAAGGGTTTCTTTTTGGGATGGGGCACTCTAGTGGCATAGTGTGTGAGGCATTTGACTGCTAACCACAAGGCTGGCCATTCATATTCACCAGCCACTGCTCAGAAGGAAGATTGGGCAATCTACTTCCGTAGAGATACCACCTTGGAAACCCAAGGAGGGGTCACTATTTGGGATGATGAAAAAGTTTGGAAACAGAGAGTGATGGCCACACAATAGTGTGAATGTAATTGATGTTGTTGATGTATATACATCTCATAAAAATTTACCATTTTAATAATTTTTAAGTGTACAGAAGGTTGGCAGTTCAAACCCATCAGCCACTCCTCCGAAGGAAGATTGGACAATTTACTTCCATAGGGATACTGCCTTGGAAACCCAAGGAGGGGTCACTATGAGTTGGGTCCGACTCGACAGCACATAACAACAACAACAAACAAATATATAT